CCACTGACCTGGACGGACAACCACTGACCTGGACGGACATCCACTGACCTGGACCGACATCTACTGACCTGGACGGACATCCAATGACCTGGACGGACATCTACTGACCTGGACGGACATCCACTGACCTGGACGGACATCCACTGACCTGGACGGACATCCAATGACCTGGACGGACATCCACTGACCTGGACGGACATCCACTGACCTGACCTGGACGGACATCCAATGACCTGGTCGCACATCCACTGACCTGGACGGACAACCACTGACCTGGACGGACATCCACTGACCTGCACGGACATCCACTGACCTGGACGGACATCCACTGACCTGGACGGATTAGAGTGATCCTATGACTCCTGTTAATAAACACCATTGAGTCCAACCATTTTAGCTTTGGCTGTCTCATGGATCGGGACTCATGGGTATGAACTGGAGTCAGGTATGTGGACCCTTTCTACTACTCTGGCAGGGACACTTAGAGAAAAGGGTCCAAGCAGTGTAGGCTGACGACTCCCAGAGCTGGAGTACAAGCAGGGAATGGAGCGGAAGAACTGAATTTCAGCTTAAGCTGAAAGTTCAAATGCAAGGCAGGGTGCTGCAATGCTGATTAGGTGGCATGGGATGCTGTGTAGGTGGCATGAGGTCCCCCAGGATGTGGAATCTAAGGGCCAGCCGGTATTCACCAGAGCTCCTGATGGTGGAGATGGGCGTGGCTGCGTGCTTACCCCAGGTCACAATCCCTAGGTCCACCCAACTCACCTAACAGGTACAGGGTACGAATCAAAGGTTAGGGACAGGCTGAAGACTCAGACATTCAGGGACAAAGTGAAGCACAGGGCAGACTGTAGACAGGGATTTCCAAGGATAAAGCGAAGGACAGGGCAGACTGTAGACAGGGATTTCCAAGGACAAAGCGAAGCACGGGGCAGACTGTAGACAGGGGTTTCCAAGGACAAAGCGAAGCACGGGGCAGACTGTAGACAGGGACATTCAGGGACAAAGCGAAGCACAGGGCAGACTGTAGACAGGGACATTCAGGGACAAAGCGAAGCACAGGGCAGACTGTAGACAGGGATATCCAAGGACAAAGCGAAGCATGGGGCAGACTGTAGACAGGGACATTCAGGGACAAAGTGAAGCACAGGGCAGACTGTAGACAGGGATATCCAAGGACAAAGCGAAGCACAGGACAGACTGTAGATGGGGTTTCCAAGGACAAAGCGAAGCACAGGGCAGACTGTAGACAGGGATATCCAAGGACAAAGCGAAGCACAGGGCAGACTGTAGACAGGGACATTCAGGGACAAAGTGAAGCACAGGGCAGACTGTAGACAGGGATATCCAAGGACAAAGCGAAGCACAGGGCAGACTGTAGACAGGGATATCCAAAGACAAAGTGAAGCACAGGGCAGACTGCAGACAGGGATATCCAAGGACAAAGTGAAGCACAGGGCAGACTGTAGACAGGGGTTTTCAATGACAAAGCAAAGCACAGGGCAGACTGTAGACAGGGATTTCCAAGGACATTCGCAAATGGGGGACTCGGCAACTAGCTTGGGAAAGCGTTGCTCGGGCCGCGAGCTGTTCGCTGCCCTGGGTTTAAATGGATCCACAGGATTGGCCACAAGCGGACTGCACTGATTGGCCGAGACACTGCATAAGAAACAGCAGGAGAGGTCGGCCAACGCCTAAAGCTTGCAGACAGGTGCAAGAGTGAGTCAGGTTCCGAGCACATGCCTGGAGGACTACAAACACCAGCACAGCCCTGCATGCCTGCAGAACCAGGGGTAAGAGGTATGTATATACTTGAAGAACTACAAGTAACAGCTCAGCTGGAGGTCTGCCGCTGAACTGTGACAGGCTGTTTCATCATATCACCCTCATAAGAGGTAAAGAAAAGTCACCTTGAACTCTACGACGGAGTCACAAAGCAGGAAATGAAAGGGATTTCCCAACCCGCCGCTACTCAGTTACATTATTAAACCACCAGAAAGTGGTGCGGTCAGCGTACTTCCTATCAGTTACGTGATGTAATTATGAACGGCACCACAGGAACATTGCCCAATACACCTCCAAGCTGTCATTGGTTTAAATAACTCCATTCTCACGGTTTACTCAGACTCGAAGCGGAGGTCACAGGAAGCTGTAGACCCGAAGCGGAGGTCACAGGGAGCTGTAGACTCGAAGCGGAGGTCACAGGGAGCTGTAGACTCGAAGCGGAGGTCACAGGGAGCTGTAGACTCGAAGCGGAGGTCACAGGAAGCTGTAGACCCGAAGCGGAGGTCACAGGGAGCTGTAGACTCGAAGCGGAGGTCACAGGGAGCTGTAGACCCGAAGCGGAGGTCACAGGAAGCTGTAGACCCGAAGCGGAGGTCACAGGGAGCTGTAGACTCGAAGCGGAGGTCACAGGGAGCTGTAGACCGGAAGCGGAGGTCACAGGGAGCTGTAGACCGGAAGCGGAGGTCACAGGGAGCTGTAGACCGGAAGCGGAGGTCACAGGGAGCTGTAGACTCGAAGCGGAGGTCACAGGGAGCTGTAGACCCGAAGCGGAGGTCACAGGAAGCTGTAGACCCGAAGCGGAGGTCACAGGGAGCTGTGAGACCTCGTTGCTGGACACGGGAGCATTCGCGGCAGGAAACGGTTTTACGACTTCTCGCCATTCACCGATGTTTTTTTTAAATATATATATAGAACCGAAGTGCCCGTGTTCTATCGAAAGGTCCAACTTATCGAGATCTCCAACTGCCTGACTTCCGGCTTAGTGAGAACTAAGAGGTTTGGGGCGAGAAGGCTCCAAGTGCACGAGCGCCAGCCGCGGCATTTCCCTACACACACACACCACACAGCAATGAAGTAATAAAATGAACTCGGATGACACTAATGCAGCACGTTATCAATCTGAGTTGCCCCGCTCAATATGGCCGCCGCTTGAGTGGGGCAACGCCGATGAATAAAGTGCTGCATTAGTGTCATCCGAGTTCATTTTAACTAGGGCTGTGGAAATTAAAGATTCGTTGCTCGATTATTCGTTAAACTTTTTGATCGATTAAAATTATTTTGATCGCTAATGAAAACACTCTCCGCCGGCTTCCGGGAGTCCCGTCGGCGGTGACGTCACGGACATCTATGTCACCGGACTCCTTCCCCAAGTGGCTCCGTCGGCTAACGAAGGGAAGGGGGGAGGAGTCCGGTGACGTCGATCTCCGTGGCGGCTAACGAGGGGAAGGGGGGAGGAGTCCGGTGATGTCGATGTCCGTGGCGGCTAACGAGGGGAAGGGGGGAGGAGTCCGGTGACGTCGATGTCCGTGGCGGCTAACGAGGGGAAGGGGGAGGAGTCCGGTGACGTCGATGTCCGTGAC